CTACAATTGTGTTAAAAATTAAACTACAGGAGCTACGAGAACACAAAGGAGTACCAGTAATATTAAATGAATTTATTTTCTCCTTATGACTGGTTTGTGGGGGAAATGTTTAGTTAACAAGTGAAAGTATTTGCGTGGCTTTTTAGTTTTTATATAAACTTAAAGAACTCTTAATTTTCATTTTTTTTTTTTTTTACAAATTGTTTACAATTAATAAAAAATGTAAAGGAAAATTTTTTTGAAATTAACAGGTTTTATTCAGCGGGCAATCATGCCAAAAACTCAAATGTTCTAATCTAATCTATTCAACCTGACTACGACATTGGGTTGCAAAGATATAGGGAATTATAAATTCAGGGAGGGGGGAAAGAACTATAAATTGTTTCAAAATTACCAAATCCTCTCTTTGCAACTCATTAAAGTTCATTCAATTTACATTTCAATAAAAAATATTTATTAACAATAAAAGTATTAATTTTCCTTCATATTTTCTTATTTTTTCAAATTAATTTTATAGATTAGAGTTATTTTAATACTGTAACCAAATTACTGTCTTATCAAAAAAATATCACAAAAAATCACGTTTGATTAGAATTAGAAGGTAAAGCGTCATTTTTGGGTTCATAAAATTTTTATAGAAAATTGGATGTTATAGTGAAATCTTTGATAGAGATGAACACTCTTTAAGTGAACAAATGAAAGTTTTGAGATCGAACTAAATTTTTCGTGAACACGTTGTCGTTTAGAAAAAAAACGAACAATGAACGATTGACATTGATCGTTAAGAGAAATGAAAAACAATTGTTTTTAAAAACCGAACGAAAAAAACGGATGAGCTGAAAAGAACGATAAATTTTTACTGAACAAACAATTTCTTAAACAATTTTTTTAAAAAACTATCGTGATTTTACTTAATGAACGATTTTACTTAACAAACGTTTTAAAAACATTTTGGAAAAAATGTTTGAATTTTAAACAAAACAAGTTTTGTTGCCTCCAGGATAACGTTCAGTCATATGTATTTAATCTGACATTTTTTTACTTATTTGCTTAGCATGTTCACAATGTAGTAATAGAATAGAATAGAATTCAAAACCTTAATATGAAATTATTGTGTCGAAAGAAAGCTTATTAATAATGCTTTCAACTTTATCTTGTTCAAACTTTTTCGGCAACTAATTATTACTAATTATTTGTCTAACTATATAACTCTCCGGTATATAAACCAGATGTAATAATGTCTAAAGTTGATCGTTAAGTGAGAAAATGAACGAAACAAACAGAAAATTGACGAAAATTTTGACAACAAATAAGAATAATTTTTTTTGAACGATTGAAAAAAAGCAAACGAAACGGGTCGTTCACAAACAATGAACGAACCAAATGAAAAAGGACGAATGTGCCCATCTCTAACCTTAGCTGCTTCCAATCATATCTCCTCTTATTGAAGAGCTATTGAGAAGAAAGTAAAATATTAAAATCCCCAAAATTTCAAAGATTCTGGGCCAATTTAAGATTTTTCAAAATCTTCCGCTGAGACTTTGTATATTTGCGTAATGAAGATATTAAATCTACAAAAAATCAAGTTTATGACCAAAACATAAATATTTGGATAAAACAACCCGTGTGAATTTGATTAAAATATAATTAGTATTTAAACAAATCTGCGTAACTTTTTAATTTTTGAATTAAATGCACAAAAATATAATAAAAAATACGATTAATTTGATTAAATCATAATTTAAAAAAAACGGGATTTCTTAGAAAAGATTTCACTTAATAAATTATTTCAATTTTATCAGCTGAGAGTGAGACATCTGTTGTTGAAATTACGAACCTTGATATTGCATTTATAATAAATGAATGAAAATTGATATTCTTGTTTACAACATCAGTAAATATTTTGTAGGGCTGGGGATTGTTTAGACCTTACAGAAATATGATTTCTATTGTGCAAGTAACAATTCAATACATTAACTTTTATAAATAAAAATATTTTATCCACTAAAATTGTTTTTTGTATCAATAAACTTCAAAATGGTTAAATTCGAAAGAAACAAATCGTGTAAAAACGTGTTTATTTTTATTATAGTTATTTGAAAATGCACCAGCTGCACCTTAAACTAAAATCCATGAAAATTAGTTTTTACTTTTTGAGATGGAGGGAAAAATGACGACTTGGAAAGCTACAGTTAAGAGCTGAACTTGTTAGTTAAAAAGTTGGGCACAGCGCCTTAAGAGCTATCTAAATAATATAAGAAGGCATTTGAGTATATGTTCCCTATAGCCGGATAAACGGCTGGACCGAACTGGCTGAAATTTGTTGTGGGTACTTATGGGTAGCCTGGGGGTGACATGGGCTAAAAAATTCGAATTTTATTTGTTTCGAGATAAAAAATTAAAAATAAAATTTTTTTGCTTCGGGCAACGACGGCCCTCCAGTCAATAAAATCTATTGATAATAAAATTATGTTACGTACGTGGGCCTAAAAATATTTAAGATTTTCTGAAATCTTTCAACTTGCTGCTAATAAAAGGTTTAGTTTATCAAGTTAGATAACAAACCTATAAAAAATGATTGTTTAATTAGGTTTTATTAGAAAATTAATTGGATACTTTTTTGGTTTTAAAAATGATTTATTTCAAGAAGAAACAATTACAGATTATTAAAATATATGCAATATAATCTTTACCTAGCCTTAATACTATCAAAAATACATTTTATTTGACGAATGAAAATCTAAATTGTAAGAGTACATTACAATCAAAATCCATTTTGAAGTAATTCTCATTAAAAATGTTTAAGAAAAGACATCTGTTGGTGAAAATAGAAACCTAAATATTGCATCACAAACTAATGAATGAAACTTGATATCCTATTTTTCAATTCATCATAGTAAACAATAATTAGGACTGGGAATAGAAATTGTCTACACAGATATACAATGTAAAGCAATATTATATACCCAATTTTGAGCTTCCCTATTGCTTCATCAGTAATATTTCAAATTCTGATAAAAAAGGATGATATCTCACTAAAAGTTACGAAAAAAGAGGTTTTTAAGGTTACTGTTCTGAATCTTGCAACTCTTTAATTGATCATTCTCTGCAGTCTGTACAATTCGGTTTATTTCAAATACCGGGCACACCTTTAACCAGCTAGGAGCAAGCTGTACAGTACAATTATAGACTATTTAAGGGAAATCGGAATAGGACACTAAATGAATGATCCCTTCTAACAAAAAACACAAGTGTCCACATTAGATATGGTGATCAAGCTTTCAAACAAAAAGTTGCAACCTCAGGGTTACTTAATGTAGGAATGGAACCTCTAGAATGGACAATGGTGGTTATCGAGATTAGGGCTTGATCCTCTCTTTTAGCTAATCTGAAGACAAATTTAGTCTTTGGATTAACTTCTATAAGTTAGAGATGCGCTCTTTAACTTTTGAATTGAACTAATGATCGATTTAACGAACGTAAGTTTTGGATTAATGTTTATTAACACTAAAGCTCAAAATGGCTATAGTCCTGAAATGTGATAAATTTTTTTTTAATAAGTTCATTAACATGATTAAATTTATATTTGTTTAATTGCTCTAAAGGCTGGCTTTGGAATAGCTGTCTTTAGTTCAATCGGATATTAGTCCAATCGATAGCATTGCATCTGTAATTGTGTTTAAATCGTAACTTATACAGTAGGGATATCCAAAAAAGAGGATTAAGAAGAAAATCAAAATTCAAAAGTGTGTACACTGGATATTCAGATTAATTGCAATCGGGATTAAGGATATCTCATTCTAAAGTTTTCAGCTCAGTTACATTTTTTCTCGGTACTTAAGAATATAAGAACTTTTAAAAAGTTTTTATAAACAGGCTTTGTAATGCTTTCCAGAACTTTTTGGTAATGTTACATCGTCTATACGCGACATTCCACCTACTGAATTCTTCTGACCTACTAACTTTCCGACCAACTGCAATATCGGACTTATGCCAGCTGCTTATTTTTGTATTATTTTAGCGTTAGGTTAGGTTAAGACAATTTCTGGAGGGGGCCGAGCGCCACGGCTAGGACATGCTAGGGGGCCGGGCGCTGCGGCCACAAGTCCATATAACAGCTGTAAGACCACGTGCTAGTAGGTCGGATGTGTAGTATAGCGGATTTGCGTAGGTCGAAAAATACACCACCAACTTTTTTTCCCCGTGACTTACTTACATACATCTTTTAATAATATTCTCCTCTCATCATTATCCATACAAAAAAATAATAAATTTATTTTATCACAACAATTAGATAAAATAAGAATGCATAATCTCATTTTTAAATCTCACAATAAATACAATTATAAACGCAGTCCAAACTAAAAAAAACTCACCCCCTTTAGAAAACAATGACGTGCTTGCTATAAATAAAGAATAAGTAGCTCATACCAACAAAGTAAAAAAAAATAGCAAAAGCAAAAAAGACGTTTGATCAGTATTTTTTGAAAATTAGGAAAGTTTAATTTGGCAGTAAATTTTTTAAATGAAAGATTGAAAATTTATTTTAAAAAAAATATTATCATGTGTAACACAAGGTAAAATTTTGAAATGTGCCAACTTGTTTTTTTGACTTTATAGTTAACTGCAGGATATTGATACCAAAACAAGTTTACAAAAAAAACAATTTTTTTAAATATGATTGTTGGTATAAAAGTAAAAGAATTGTAGGATTCCGTGAAAATTATGTAAATTCGTTTTTTTCAAAATTTTTAAAAGCATTTCTAAAATGCATTTATCTTGTTTCTATGCTTGGTAGTATTTTGATAGCATCAATATACTTAGAAGTGTACTGCACTAAATTAAAATAATAACTATTACCATTACAATATCATTTCTATGTTTTTTTAAAATCTTAAATCATAAACCTAAATGATGATTAAAGCTCAAACAATGTACAAATGGAATATAATTTTTCCCAAATCTTTAAATTTTGTAAATAAAAACCTCGCCATGTTAAAATACAACTCAAGAGATGAAAATCCCCGAAAGGTATTAAAATATCCGCAAGTCAGTAGTGTCGGAGTCTGGATTCAGAGATTGACCTACTCATGATCTTCCTGTGCTGTACTTTTTTGGTGATTTTTGTATCAACTAAATTCACAGTTAACAAATTCATGAAGATGAGATCAGTGCCCATAATTCTAACATTTCAATATTTCCAGTCATCTTAATTTTACCAAGCTTTTACATAAACTAATCAAATAAATTTTTTTTGTGAAATAATTATATTTTTTATTAAAATTCTATTAGATCCAGATATGATGCATTAAAAAAAATAAATCCTTTAGACTGGATATTAATTTCACATGTACTGCTCCATATTAATTTCACATGTACTGCTCCATATTAATTTCTCATGTACTGCTCCATATTAATTTCTCATGTACTGCTCCATATTAATTTCCATGTACTGCTCCATATTAAGATTACATGTATAAACTCAATAATAATTTCACATGTGTACTGCTCCATATTAATTTCACATGTACTGCTCCATATTAATTTTACATGCACTGCTTCATTTTAAGTTTACATATACTGCTCCATGTTAAGTTTACATGTACTGCTCCATATTAAGTTTACATCTACTGCTTCATATTAAGTTTACATGTACTTCTCCATTTTAAGTTTAAAAGTACTGACCCATATTGTGTTTACATGTACTGCTCTATATTAATTTTACATTTACTTCTCCATATTAAGCTAAAATATACTGCTCTGTATTAATTTTACATGTACTGCTCCATATTAAGTTTGCATGTATTGCTTCATATTAAGTTTACATGTACTTCTCCATATTAAGTGTAAAAGTTCTGAGCCATATTAAGTTTACATGTATTGCTCCATATTAAGTTTACATGTACTGCTCTTTATCAATTTTTACATTTACTTTACATATATTGCTCCATATCAAGTTTACATGTACTGTTCCATATTAAGTTTATCTACCATCTCCTTATGTAATTCCCCCTGACCATCGGTGCTCCAGATTTCATCTAATCCGGACTGGATTTTTTGGGATGGATGTTTTCTAAACCTCAAGGTCTGAGACATGGATGCATATCTGTTCTCCAGGTAGTCTATATGACCCTTATTTTTCCCAACAGGAACATGGCCTAAGACAACATCACCATGGTTCTTGGCAAACACTGATACTGTTCTAGTGATATTATTTCCATGGCGATGTATGTTATGCTCTATATAATCAGCTCCGATCAATTCTTCATGCTCTTTCATTCTGAAGTTCATGCATAGTCCAATAAGGATAATAATGATAAATGTTGATATCACCGACCATGTGATACAGACCACCACAGCCAAGGTTTGAACACCAATCAGATAGAAACCTCCACCATGAATCAATCCGTCATACTTTGTATATCCTGTCAAATTATCCCTCTTCGCAAATATACCTACAGCAAGCATTCCCCATAATCCCCCAACTCCATGGACACAGCTGGCTGATACAGGATCATCTATTCCTAACCTCTTGATAAGAGAGGATGCAAAATGAACAATGAGAGCGCCAAGTCCACCAATGATGATAGACTCTAAAATGGTAACATTTCCACATCCAGCCATCATGCTGACGAGAGCACTGATTATTCCATTCATTACTATCATTACATCCGATTTTCCTTTTTTAGTCACCATGCTGATAATGAATCCCATGGTTCCGCCAGCAAAAGAGGACATTAAGGTTGTAACTGTTGCCTTGATTGCCAGAATCCACTTAATGCCACTGATTCCAAAAGTTGCTCCAGAGTTAAAGGCAATCCAAGCCCACCATAACATCATAGTACCTATAATAGCATTGGTTGCACTGCCCATAGGAGGATCTCCTTCTATTTCCCATCTTCCTAGTCTTGGTCCTATCATCTTTGCAGCTACCAATGCCCCAAACCCTCCAATGACACATACACTAGATCCGGCTGTATCTACAACATCCATCATTTTAAGGAATCCTTTAGGTGCCCAGAGCCAGCCAGCTGGTAAACAATACACAAAAGTGTTGAAGAATGAAAATACGCAATATGCATAGAAATTTGTACGCTCCGCAATGGCACCAGACACGATAGTAGTACTTAATGATGCAAATGAGAGTTGGAAGAAGAAAGTAGCATATGTCGGTCCCATTTGCATTCCATCTGCATGTACAAAGAAGTCTCCAAAACCAAGAAAAGCAGAACTCCAGGAATTTTCTCCATAGCTCAGTCCATAACCCACTGCCCAGTAAGACAACCCACCTAGAAGTACATCCACAGCATTCTTCATCATAATGTTGGTCTCATTCTTTAACGAAGCACATCCTGATTCCAGAAGAGCGAAACCTGTTTGCATTGTCATAGTCATGAACACTGAACACATGATCCATGATGCATCATCCCACTGCCAAATAACCAGAAACTTTTCAATCTTATTCTCAGGAATGGTAGAAACATTGATGGAATATGGGTCTACATAGTCATAGTGAGCATATAGAGCTTCCAATCCCTCTTCATACTTCTTCTTGTCCTTGCCATACCCTCTTTCCTCCTCTAGATTAATCCAGTCCTCTTTAGACTCAGCATCATGTCCTCCAAGCCAGGCATTGGAGATATCTTGTTGTTCATCTGCATAAATGGTGTCGTCATAGCCTGGGAAGTTTTTATCTCCATACCAGACAGAATCATCAATTTGAGGTTTAGGATCTAGTTTTACTTCTTCTTCTGTTTTATACCTAAACAGTTAATCTTATAAAATCATGTATTACAAACTGGGTTTTATTAAGTATTTTTTTAAATCTAAACTAAAATCAAAATTTCAGGTTTTTCTTTATTAAAATTTCCATTGAAATTCGTCTCAAAAATAAAAGAATATAAAAATTGTAAGATTGAAAAGAATGAATTGATAAATATATTACCCTAAAGTTTGCTGCAGAATAAATGATACAAGAAATAGTATTATAAGAGTGTCCATTTTGCTAGCCTGAAAATACCTTACTGTGGTCGGGGGGTTCAGCGACTTGGCATAAGGGGTATATATGTTCTACAAAATTTAAATTAAGATCTTTTATTCACATTATTTTGTTGTAATTTAACTGTAAAGGGCACTAATAGTTTTCAGACAAAACATTTATAAAGAAGAAATATTAATATAAAATTAGATTTCGATTTACCCCTGTTTGGTTTATCAATTATGCATTATCAGTTTGATCTTTTAGATTGCATGATTCACGTTCAACGTCCATTTGGGAATTAATGATTAATATATCTCATGCGTCTTTTAAGTTGGATCAGAGAGGATTCAAAAGTTGTCTCTTAATTCTCATGTAAAAAAACTAAAACTTTTAAAAATTCAAAAATCCTTTAATGTAATTTATTTTGAAAAATCCTCAAATCTATCATGAAAAATGCGCAATTTATTCTATTTTCGTATTATCAGGCCTACTTTGGAAGTTAAACGGACTTTTAGAGACAAATGTTTCATCAACTAACCCCCCCCCCCCTTTATGGGATGTGTACCTACTAGGAGCACTTATTGACACAATACAACGATGTTTAGTAGACTAAAAAGCCTGAACACACTTTTTTCAGAGACACCCTGTAAAAAAACACTTATATAAAAATATTATTAGTCGCACACCAGGGTAACTTGTTTTCACCATCCTAACTGGATAAATTAAAATTTTCTCAGTTAATTGAAGTTCTTTATGTAAAGTCTAAAAAAATCTTTAGTAAAAGGGGAAATAATATCACTAATCAATTCTTAACGAACTTAAGTTTACGTCGAATTAAAACAGATTAGCATCAGAATTTCTTGAATAATGTTTGTCTATTTTTTTAGAACACTTTTTTCACCTTTGGTTTACAAAAAAAAACATTTCTTTTCAATTTTAGAGGTTTTTACTAATAACCACACGTTTATGTGCTTACTGGTCATTGTTTCTTTTTTTATTTACTTTTTCAACAAAGTAGTGAACAACTTATAAATGAAAAATCTTTCTTGATGCATAGGGTAAGGTAGAGAACGGTCACACGGCTGGTCATTCTTAAAAAGTCGATATTTTTGGTTTTAATAATTGATTTACAGATCTTAAATTTCTTTATTTAAAAAACCCTATAAAAGTTTGTAAGATCACACTTACACATCTTGAGGGCAAAATCATATGCGGGGAGGGGGTACACTCCATCTAGATTAGACCAAAATAAACCAGTTTGGATAGGGTTAAGCATATATGCCTTTTAAATCTATCTTTGATTAAAAAACAATTTAACAATTTGTGGAAAAAATTATTAAGTATTTATTCAAGATACGAAAAGATTAATAATTAAATATTAAAGATAGAAGACAGTACATAAACGAGTTGTACAATGTTGTAATTTAGTACATTGTCTTGAAAGTTACATAACAACACAGTAAGCCTGTACAACTAAGTGTACATGAGGGGGTAAGGTACATAAAAGGGAGAGCGGGGTACATAAATACATCAAGCTGCCGAATTAGCAAACATGTTTGACGAATACATAAATGTTTTTAAATAGTTTTCGATCTGTTTTAGCTGCAGTGCTTAATCTAAATTTACACGCTTAAAGGGAGTGTGTGCGTAATTTGAAGGGATCCTCCATTAAAAAAGGTAATGGCCGATTTACACCGGTGCTCTTGAAAGCTCTGTCTGATAAAGTATAATTTAGATCTTATCTTAATATCTTTAATTCTTAAATACCGTTTGTTTTAAGGTTTCAAGGGTACCGTTGTAAATCGGGCATTGGCATCTTTGCATGGAGGGTCACTTGAAATTACGCTTACAGTCCCTTTAAGTTGAAAAAGGGCGAATACAGTCTGGGGAAATTAAAGTTAGAAAAGTTCACTTAAAGGGACTGGCGATATAATTTCAAGGGACCCTCCATTGTTTCCATGCCTGATAAACACGATATCCTATACAATATCTTCTACAGATGAGAAAATAATCTCGTTTTTCTTTCTGCCAATTTCCTTTCTTGCCTCAGCTGCTAAAAACCGCCACAGGAAACATTTTGTTCCGATGGAGAAGATGTCAGGTAAATAATTTTGGACTTTTGATGTTCCGACATCGGCATGTCGGAGACTAAATGTTTGCAAAAGTAAGAAACTTCTTTTAAAAATAATGAACTTTTTCAAGTAAAAAGAACATAAATTCCTCAATCATTTTTGATTAGATAAAAATGCAAAAGCTACATTTCTGAATCAGACATTTTTTACTCTTTAGGATCACTTGAAATAACGCAGACAGTCCCTTTAAAAAGTTGGGAAAATACCGAACAGGGAATTTCAAACTGTAAGTTTCAGTAATTAAATCATTTCATTTTTTCATAAAGCTATTTGATAGGGGGGATTGTGTTGATACTTCAGGAAGGGGGGGAAAATTTGTACTAAGTAGAAAAGTACATACAAGACAACTATATCAATACGACAATACAAGTGAAAAATATATTATTTATAAAAAATGTTTTGAAAGCTTTTCATGATCCGTTTTCTTTATGATAAATGTTTAGTGTCGGATAACCGGTATATTCAGGTTGTACAGTGTACATAAATATGTACTGCATAATACGCACTTGGGTAACATCTCATTCGTAATTTTGAACGTTTTGATCGAAAATGAAAAGAATGTTAGGGATTTCTAACAAATTGTTTTATCCTTAACATTACAATATAAATTTAAGACAAAACGTTCGATTTTATGAAATATTTGTGTTACCTCAGCGCAAAAGAATATTTCATTAAGTTACTTAAAAATTGTCTCCAAATTAACTTACAAGTATACATTTTTTTGTAATCTTGAAATAAAATTATTTTTAAATTAGGAGAGATGTTAACACTTTTTTTGAGCGAATTTCACCGGGTTTGAGAAAACATTTTTTGGCACAAATATTTGCATAATAATTAATAATATAATTTTGATTAGTTTTGTTTTGATCATACATCTGATAAATTAGGAATGCCCTACAAAAAGGAGCATTTACATAATATTTGAAAATAATAAGATATTCTTGTTATTTTGATGAAAAGTGGAGAAATATTAAAATTGTACATAATGTTACATGTTTTGCATTGCGAAATTATTGAGTAGTTGCATCTTTTGATTAGGTTGTGGAATTCATTTTATTTATAAACAATGATATGTTTCCCCCTTTATAAATGGGGTTGAACAGTGTACAGTACAGTACAGTACAGTACAGTACAGTACAGGGATTAAGCTCAGTTTTACACTAGAGGTTGCGGGAAGAAATTAACTAAATATCTAAATATCTAAATATCTAAATATCTAAATATCTAAATATCTAAATATCTAAATATCTAAATATCCGGCAAGATTGAGAACTTTCAGATCGTTTAAGAACAAAGTACATAGTTCAAACAAAAGATGAATTAAATATCTGGAAATTGTCTCTTTAAGGAATAAATATCTGGTTTAGAATTGGCAGATGATTTGCGAATGGCACTGTACATGTTGTTGCAGAATAATACTTGAGTATTTGCATTGAAGTTTGGCACACGTTTTTGCATTTATGGCACATGGAGTAGATCATGTGGTTAGATAATATAGAACATTTAGAGGTCATACTGACTACAACAGCATAGGAGGTCACATAGCTTTGGGGGTCAGGGAGGTCACACAGATTCGGGTCAATGGAGGTTTCAAAATTTCAGGGTCTTCGGGGCACGGGAGGTCAAGGTACTTGAGGGAGGGGGATTGAAGGTAACTTAGGGGCAAAGGAGGTCACAGCATATGGAATCATATAATAACACTGTATAAAGCCTGATTTCTGAGACGTGATAGTAGAAATATTGACTGCTCTAAAGGAGGTCATAAAATTAGGGAAAAAGATGTTACAACTAGGCGGGGAAGAAGGAAGGTCACAAAACCAGATAAATGTCACATGACGGCACTAAACAAGGTCACGTGACTTGCTACGTGAAAGACCTATTTCTTGAGAGGAGCTCCATGATGAGTAACATGGTGACGCCGGAGATACCATTTATTTTTCACTTTTTTGTTACAGATCTCACACTGCATCTCACGGCCCACTGTGTGCATGTTCAAGATATGCTAAAATATATATAATTATTACAACAATAATAATATTAATAATAATAATAATAATAGTGACCCACAGTGTGCATGTTCAAAATATGCTGAAATATAAATGACAATTACAACAGTAATAATGATAATTACTAAATGTACATAATGTTGATAATAACGATAATAACGATGATAATGATCCAAAGTGTGTATATCTAGATATGCTAAAAATATTGATCACAAAAAAATGATATTAATGATATATGATAACAATTCCAACAATAAAAATTAAAAAATGACAAAAAAACTTTAAAAAAGGATCAATGTTATTAATAACAAATCCTTGTTACAACACTGAAAATAATACCTTTTTCAAATTCAACTTATTATAGAACATTCTGTTGTAGTACTGAACCCAATACCTGTTTCAAGTTGAACTTATTACTAAACACAGTTAAGAGTACTGAACACAATACCTTTTTCAAGTTGAACTTTTTACTGTACATTCTGTTACAGTACTGAACACATTACCTGTTTCAAGTTGAACTTATTACTGAACATTCTGTTACAGTATTGACACATCCTAGGCTGTCTGGACTTCCATGATGGGCCCAGTAAAGCTGCCATCTGTTCTGGACCTAAAAAAATCTTATTAAAACGAGTTTTTTTTTTACGTTTATGTTTGGATGTACTATGTCCCTAGTATAGTCTTGCATGTGCAATCATATCCCAAGTAAAGTAAACAGGTGCAAATAAATTATTATCGAGTGCATAACATATATCCAAATTTAGTTTTACGCGTGCGATTATATCCTATATTTGGTTTTGCATGTGCGAATATATCCTATGCATGGCATATGTAAATATGTCAATATGTCCTTTAAAACGTGGAAATATATTCTGGGACTAGTTTAATGCATGCAAATGCATCTTGCGTTTAGTTTTGCATATGCAAACATATTCTTCGTATAGTTATGCATGTGCAAATATATTCCTGCGTTTAGTTTTGCATGTGCAAATATATTCCTGCGTTTAGTTTTGCGTGTGCAAATATTTTGCGTATAGTTTTGCATGTGCAAATATATTCTGCGTATAGCTTTGCATGTGCAAATATATTTTGCGTATAGTTTTGCATGGGCAAAAATATTCTGCGTATACTTATGCATGTGCAAATATATTCTGCGTATAGTTTTGCATCTGCAAATATATTCTACGTATAGTTTTGCATGTGCAAATTTATTCTGCGTAAAGTTTTGGACGTTCAAATACGTCCTGCGTAAAGTTTGACATGTTCAAATATATACGAACTCTGTTTGCAAAACCATACTTGAAAATTTTAACAAAAATTTTGCGCTTTCAGTAAAAAAAAACCAAATATATAAAAAATAATCTATTGAATACTAATTACCTAGAAGAGCTGCCATTTGTTCCGCTGCACCCCCCTCCTACAAATATTATAGAATTAAAGGTTTTGTTCACATATCTTAAAGTTCGAACCTACTGGATACAATATTGAAATTAAGGGTGAAACTATTTAGCAATTTTTTTAAAATGCTCAAATCTGAAGTTTTCTAACATACATTAAAAAAAAGATTTGACATTTTCTCTTTCATAATTTTCAAACACTCGTTCAGATTTTTACTTTTTATGATGTAAGCAGAGGCGTATTCAGAGGGGGGCTATTGGGGCTAGCCCCCCCCCCTGGACAAGTGAAATCTATTGATTTCAGGGGGTTTTCAGGCCCCAGCGGGTGCTGAGCCCCCCCCCCCTGAAAAGAAAAAAATTTAAGCCCTCCCTGGACAAATTCTTGAATACGGCCTTGGATGTAAGAAGGAAAAAATGTCGTCTAAATAAATTAAGTTGGGTTTAAAATATCCGTCTTGAAACACTTAGTTCAGAAACGTTAAAATTTGAAAAATAATACCGACTTTTTGGAAAAATATTAGACAGAGTTCCGAAAAAACTTGCTTTAAGCCTTAATAAAACAATTGTTGAAAAATCAAAGAACGGACAAATGGATGGTATTTAGTGGTTCAAGGCCCATCTTCAGATACCCATATTAACATCTTTAAAAAACCATAAAAAATCGACATTACCTTATGATCTCAGTTTTTTAAATTGTTTATTACTAAATTAGTTTTGATTTTTTCAATGTTTTTCTTTTACAAATGTTGCTTCAAATTAGCTACTGTATGATATTTAGCTGGTGCAGGAAGAATTCGACATTTTTTATATAATAGTTTCACCCTTATAGAAATAAAGAGATTAACAGTAGCATAACCCTTTTCCAAACTTATGATCATTCCCGACAAGATTTCCTACCATTAAACTCAGCTGTGAGGGCGAGGCGTTCAGGAATTGAGCAGGAAGCAGTTGAAAGGCTTGGGATACAAGAGAACTAAAATAAACATCATTAAATAATAGTTAGAGATGAAAGAATTAATAAAAAGGGAGGGGGCTCCGGGACCCGGGTGTATATATTTAGGAATTACACCCCCCCCCCATTAATATATAAACATTATTTCAAGGGGACCCAGAGGGGGGGGGGGGTGAAAAATAATTTTAGCAGAAATTGAATTCTTGCCTCCGACTTTTAAATTTCTAATCTTTGCAACATGATTTCAAAAAACATTTGAGATATAAAACTCTCATAGTTTAAAATATCAAATGGCAAAGATATGAAGATATTCCTTCTTTTTTAACTAAATTTTTCTCAATCATATTTTTACCGAATTTTCCATTTCTCACTATCCTCCAATTACAATAAATATTGTGTTTTGTAAACATGAATAATTAAAGAGTGTTGATTAATTATCTGAATCCCAAAACTCCGTCTTAGTTTGTGAAAATTAACATTTTTATCCAACCTATTCAACTTAAAAATCTAGATATGATAAATTATGTCTTTTTTTCAGTATTTAAACCGCCTTAAAAGCAGCAGAAACATCCAGGCTAATGCACAATTGTTAACATACCATACCTAGTGACTGGTATAGAGGAGTTGTATAATCCTCCTTTATTCAGACTCAGATCCAGGCTTCCATTCACATCCTTAATACAATACAATCAATCAATCAACATTTCAATCAATCAATCAATCAATCGAATTTATTATTTAAAATCTATCAGCAAATGTATAAATATAAAATCAATTAATTAATCAGTACTAATCAGTGAATCAATTTACCAATCAATCAATCGATGCTTCAATTAATCTATCATCAAATGTATTAATATAAAATGAATGAATCAATATACCAATCAATGAATCAATCAATGAATTAATCAATCAAACATCACTCATTTTTATTCTTTCACTCGTACACCATTCAATTTTTCATAGATCAACCGTCCATGTTTCATTGATTCATTGATTCATCGAATCATTTATTCATCCATCTAACCATCATTTAATTATTCATCGATCAATCATCCATTTTTCACCCTTACTTAATCACAAATTCATTAACAACTATCCATCGCTTGATCAATCACCAATAAACTGTAGATCAATCACAACATTTAAACTATAGATCAATCACCAATAAACTATCGATCAATCACCAATAAACTATAGATCAATCACCAATAAACTATAGATCAACACCAATAAACTATAGATCAATCACAACATTTAAAAGAAACTTTGTCAAAATGAAGATTTTAGCGGGAATACAAACCTGTTTTGTAGATTTCTGCTGAGAGTAGAGTTGAGAGAAGGCTTTTTGAGTTGAAAGATTAATTGCTGAGCTTCCATCCTCACCCTCTTCATCCTCCCCACCCTCGTCATCCTCCTCCTTCATCCTCATCCCCTCCTCTTTAGATCCATTCCTCCCCTCCTCATCATCCTCCTCATCCTTCATCCCGTTCAGTCCGTTGTAGTTATGCGCCAACATTCTACAAGTCATTCCACTAAACAGATTTGAAGATAGAAAAATCACTTGACAACATAAATGAAAGATTAGATGAAAAAGGAAGAATGAATTAGATAAAAAATGTAAGGAAGGATGAATAAATAAGCGTGAAAGAATGAAAGAATGAATAAATACACTGAACTGATATTAGGATAGAAAAAATCATCAAAGAACATAAATGAATGATTAGATGAAAAAGAAAGAATGAATAAATTGATGAATTAGATTTTAGATAAAAATGTAAGGAAGGATGAATAAATAAATGTGAAAGAATGAATGAATGTATAAATACACTGAACTGATATTAGGATAGAAAAAATCGAAGAACATAAATGAATTATTATATTAACATGAAAGAACAATAAATAGATTGATGAATTAGATAAATGATACAAGAAAGAATGAATGAATAAACAAATAGATGATTAAATGGATAATTGAATGACAGTATGAAAGGATGAAAGGATAAATGAATAAATGAATGAACCTATATTCTCAAACTGTTAGTGCTAAACTAAGTAAGCTCTGAATGAATGAGTGAATAAATGATTGAATAAAAGGATAAAAGGAAAGATGACTGGATGAATGAATGAATAAATGAATGAACCTATATTCTCTAGCTGTTAGTGCTAGACTAAGTAAGCTCTGATTCTCCTTCTCTGTCTCTGCTCCTTCATCCCCGGAACTAAATAATCAAATCATCTATATATATATACTAAATAATCAAATCATCTATATATATATAGATATAAATAAATATTTAGATAATTAATAACTATACAATACATTTATAAGTAGTAATCTATGTTTGTCTGTTTGTATGTCTGATCATAACTCATGAACCCCAGGACTGAATAACTAAATCATCTTTATATATAAAATAGTAATCTCTGTTTGTTTGTATGTTAGATCATAACTAATGAAATTTGCCTAAGGAGAACCACAAGAAAGTTCTTTACTTGTTTTTTAAAATTGATTTAAAGTTGATCTCCAATTTTTCTTGTACATATAAATGACGAAGGGACTTGGACTAGAACCGACCTAATAAACTACTACTCATGTTTCGCGCAGATAATTTTAAACCTAGGAGTTGATTCAGTTTGATCTCAACGGTACTTAACAAGTTAAACTAACCGTCACTAGTTTAGAAATTTTTTCTCCTTTAAAAATTCTAAACTTGCAAATCAATCCTCAAATTCCGAAATCCCCCCCCACCCCCTCCTCCTCCTCGTGAAGATAGAAGGAAGGAAGGGGGGGGGGTATAACCACCTCATTGATATACCTGTGATGTACAGGAGAGGGTTGAAAGGAACCCAGTTTCCTTGGAGCAGTCTTCCTTCGCTTGGAGTTTGATATACGTCCTGCTGTACTCACAGCTGCAGCAGTTGCTCCAGGGGCTTCAGCAGCTGCTGCTGTAACAGCAGCAGCTGTCATAGGTTCAAGTTTAACAGCTGACTCTGTTGCAGCGCTTGCCAACAGACTTAGATCTCCTGATTAGTATATTGATTTTATAAAAACAATCGATCAACCTATAAATCAATCAACCCTATCAAACTACTATCTATGAAGCATTCAACCAACCAATCAATTAATCAACTAATCTATCAATCAACCAATCAATTAATCCCTCTTCTGACCTGCAGGGTGTAGAAGAGGTCCAGGAGAAGGGTGAAGAAGAGGGCCTGGAAGATGGAGAGATGGAACTTGTACTTCAGGAGTCATCACTTCGTCCTATAAAGGGATTGCTACGATTTTAAAGAATATAGACCTCTCAATTTCAGTGTCCCGTCAAAATACCCTTATAGGCTTTCATCGACTCAATGTTTTTAATACATATTTTTGATTAAAATTTGGAGTAGTACGAAAAACAAAGTTCTGTTGTTTTATCTGCATGTTATGAACTATGTAATCTATGATCAAAGTGTTCTCTTTCAACACGTAATAATATTCTTATTTTGTACTGTATGAATTAAGTACTCTATGAACCCTACCAGAGTCTCTGAAGTTTGAAAACAGTCCACAATACCCTTTATCTTCAGAGCTTCAGCTGTTTTTAAGAAGATCTAAAATAAAAAATAATTAAAAAAGATATATTAAAAACTTGTCTGAAAAAAACAAACATATTTTTTTCACCATTTACTAAATTTGATCTAAAATTCACAACAGGGTATTCGAATTTGTACATGTTGTCATTTAACTTTCTGGATGATTACATGATCCCTACCTGGAGACTAGTCATGATCCCTACCTGGAGACTAGTCATGATCCCTACCTGGAGACTAATCATGATCCCTACCTGGAGACTAATCATGATCCCTACCTGGTGACTAGTCATGATCCCTACCTGGAGACTAGTCATGATCCCTACATGGAGAATAGTCATGATCCCTACATGGAGACTAGTCATGATCCCTACATGGACACTAGTCATGATCCCTACCTGGAGACTAGTATGGGGTACAGAGACGGTTCCATGGTACATATAAGTCATGATCGCCTCCAGGACGTCCAGCTGTATATCGTTCAGGATAAGGACCGGGTGCCGACATGGGTTCTCCTAAATATTCGTATATTATCTAGAAGGGGAAGTTCTTTGTGCAACTCCAGATTTTTGTGGCAAACTAACTTTAATTTCAAAAGTTTAAAATGAGGAGTGTCTTGAATACAGTAGTAACCAGAAAAAAATGATTGATGAAATAAAAAAATTCTGTAAAATTTAAATTTGAAAGAATAAAAATGAAAAAATTCCAAAACTTTTTGATAACATTGCACTCTCTTACAATAAAACAATCTTTTTTGTAAGAAATAAATTTGTCGGAAAAAAAATCCAAGATTTTTCAATTTTCCACAATTTTTTTTCGATTGACACTTGACAGGGTTTTAATTACCATCGAAGTAAGACATATTTTATATTTGTTTTTCTTACAATTATTTTATTTCCACTTTTATGTTGTTAGTAATTCATTGGTTTAATAAATTACTTAGCAAGTTTTTTCAAAAGAGTGATTTTTTTTAATAAAAAAGTTTCTTTTTTTACAATGAAAATTAAAGTAAAACACTGTTTTAGGTTTGTTTTCCTCCCCCCAATTTTTTTTATTAAATAAATGTTTTTCATAATCTGTATTCATTAGTGGAAAAACTCCGTTTTCTTGTGACTGTATTGTGGATATCAAGATCAATGGTTGATCTAGATCTTTTGTTAATCTGCAGATTAATTTAATTCTTTGTCGATATCCCGCATGGTAATGGTACCCAGTCAGGGGTTGATGGAAGCTTTGATTAGAGAAAGATAACTAAAAAGGAGATCTGGATTTTTTAGATACCGTTGATCCACAAATTAAAAGTGCCAACAATGTATATTGAGATCTATGGATCAGGATTAAGAGTATCCAACTCAAAAGTTCCCAGCTCTGCCAGAAAAATTTATACAGTCTTTTAATAGTACGTGTTTCCGGCGGCCTTGTATTATTAACCTTTCCCACATTCCAGAATATATTTTTTGTATGTTTTAACATTTATTTACATATATTCGTAATGTTGTAGTTAATTATTTTCTCGTTAATAAAAGTGTTAAGAAGAATAATTTACCTTGAGTATCTTCCTGAAGTACGGACTACTAGCAGATAAAATCAACTTGTGGCCCTGAATATAATAACTTTATAATCATACCGAAGAGGAGCGTAAAGAGTAAGACTTCAGAAACTACTATATGGAATTAATACTGTCTGTTTTCCTAGATTTATGGTTCCTGTGCCTGTAAACTTATGTTTTTCTTTCCTACATCTTTAAATAAGCCATTAAACGACTATTTTTTAAGGCAGAAGACTTCATTTACTCTTAAAATTGTCATATTTAATTAGTTTCTGCTTTCAAGTCGTCTCTACAGTCTCATCCTTCTAGGTAAGGAATCATAAGGAAGTGAAATCTGCAAGAGACCCCATTGTGGGCCCCCCAGACCGCCCAGGCAGCAGGGTGCACTGCCCTGCCCCTGTTCTAACTAGACCTTTAAATCCCCATCTTCTAGTCCAAATCTAGAAAAATAACCCTGTATATACACAGGAATTTCTCAAAGACGGGAATTGAAAGGACTCTTCAGGATTTAGCTAGTTTAGATGCAGAGATGGGGATATTATTTTCGATGATCTGGGGGGAAAAATAAATTAAATATTGGACAGCAAAAGAAAAGTTTTTCATTCTTCTCTGCAATTTCTAACCAAAAATTTATCTTTTTCTTCCTTAAAATCATTTATTTTCCTAAATTTAGCGAATAAAACTATGGATTTATATTTCAAGAAAATAAACACCCCTGTAATGTTAGAATATATTTAATGATCTGTCAATTATGATTCTTATTCAAATTTAACAATGAAGAATTATAAAATCAATACATTTGAGATTACACCCCCCCCCCCGCGAGAACTTTTATCTATGTATTTAAACTGTTGGTAAAAAATGCATGCACTATATAATGCCTCTAAAGCTAATAAAACATGAATCTTTAAGTTAATTCAAAATCCAGTTTTTTAATTCTACTATCCAAATAAATGGATAGTGGCCCTGATTTATCCTTTATGAAGTTTTAGAAGATAATATTATGAAATAATTCATTTAATGAGTTTTTCTTTATCATACCTGAAGAGTTTTCCCCTCGCAGGAGAGAGTTACATCGACAAACTCTTCATCAGATTTCAGATCTTCCAACGCGGTCAGAATATTCGAGTGAAAGCCTAGATAATAAACATTAAAAGGACTCTAAAGTAATTTCTTGTGCAACGGCATCAGTCAGACATTTATCTGAGCTACACCGAAGTATCTATGAATATTTTTCGGGCCTGTCCTAGAGAACAATTTAAGACACCACCCCTCCTCCTATCAATTTTGTACATAATCCACAATTTAGTCATTTTTCATTTAAATTAAAAAAAAATTTGTTGCATTATTTAAGGGTTAGGCTAGATCGACAATTTCTGGGCCGATCGCTGCGGATAAGAAACGCCGCGGCTAGGCGTCACATGTCTAACTTTGTCTAAAATCGTTCTCTTGGAAATTACCGATTTTACTATGAACAATGTCTTGAAATCTACCATATTCCACCTTAAACTCTTAATATTGGAGTGGACGGGGTCTTTAATTAGTAACTATTTATTGGATTAGGTTAGACAATTTCATGGCCGAGCTCTGCGACAAAGCCAAGCTCTGGGGGCCGAGCGCCACGTCCAAGAAGGCCAGGGGGCCATGCGCTCCGGCCACATGTCATACTAAATCTATGTGAATTGTGTAACATATGAGATGCATTGAAGTACAATATATTGATAGGGAAGAAGAGGAGGGGAAAGGCATACATTAGGAGTTTCCAAAGCAAATTAAAACTGTAAACCGAGTTAAACATGAAAATAAAAAAGAGGGAGAATTTCCAAAGTTTTAAATCTCAATAAGAACATATTGGGTCTGTGGTAATTTCCTAGAGAGCGATCGTTCAATTTTTGGACCCCCCCCCCCCTCCTATCAATTTTGTATATGACCACCTGTTTATCACCAACATTATCATTATTTATTATTTCAGGATTAGGTTAGGTTAAGACAATTTCTGGCCCGAACCACATGACCGATGATAACCATGTACAAAATTGATAGGAGGGGGGGGGGGTCCAAAATTCGTTCTCTAGAAAGTTGCCAACATATTTTTAATTATGTAAATAATATTAATTAATTTCCTAGAGAACGTTTTTTGGACCCTCCCCCCCATATATCAAAAATCGTATACTAGGACGGACCCTACTATTTACCTTTCCAACGAACACAGTAGTGATTTTCAGTCATGTTGTCTTTGTCCTTGTTTGCAGCTCATGGGTGTCCCCTCCTGTCCTAGATTCTCTAAATTTATTTTTTTAACTTTTGATTCGACGTTTTCTATCGTATATTCTTGTTTGTGCAGGTCCCAGGGTGTTCTATATTTACAAAAGAATAAGATTTCTATGTTCGCATGTTACACTGCCATTGTTTATGCGTCTAATGGGCAACCCCAACATTCAGCTGCTGCCTCATTGTAGAATCCGAGTCTGTAATTGGTCTAAACAGAATCTACTCAACGCTGATTGGTCAGAAATAATTTCAGCCTTGACTCTGATTGGTCAGTTTTCTTGAATCATGCACTATAAATCATCAAGGATAAAAACCGGTTTAGAACAGCGTAAATAAAGGATACTTTTTGCGAAGTTTACGTGAAGCTGTGTATTTGTTAATCCAAGGTACTTGTTATCAAATTAATTTGATAAATTACTTGTTTAGAAAATAAAGTACAAGGTCACGTATTATTTTCATGTATAAGCAAAGAATTAATTTAATGATGAAATAATATAAAATGCATTTTAGTTAAAAAATTTTTTTAGATGTTTGAAAGTTTGCCCTATGGGGGCCTGGCTTATGGCTGGATTCCATTCACGGTTTGTATTTTATTTTCTATTATATGATAATCAGTTTTCTATATTAATTTGTCTATAGATCGTTCTATAATTTGTTTTCTGTTCCTAGATATCCATGTGCAACTCCAGATTATTATAATATTCTGGCTTCTGTTTTCAAATATCCATGTTCTCTAGATCGTTCTGATATTATGTCTTCTGTTCTCAATTATGTAATTTCCTAGAGAACGATTCTTTCTTTTGTTCTCTATTATCTATGTTTTCTAGATTGTTCTAATATTCTATCTTCTGTTCTCAATTATCTATGTTCTCTTGATTGTTCTAATATTCTATTTTCTGTTCTCAATTTTCTATGTTCTCTAGATTGTTCTGATATTCTGTCTTCTGTTCTCAATTATCTCTTCTCTAGATCGTTCTAATATTCTGTCTTCTGTTCTCAATTATCTATGTTCTCTATCACCGAGCAAGTCGGCCCAAATACACTGGATCAGCTGTAATTACAATTTTAGGTAAAGGCTCAATTTAGAATTTTTATTACAAAGAAATACTGTATATTATGAATGTCATAAGGAATTTTCCTTGGCGCTGCGGCAAGAGCAGTTCTGAAATATAGCAACAAAATATAATTAATTTGCGTTAAAATTCAAATATTTTATTTCTTAATGAAAGTCATAATGGTGTAAATAAAATTTCTTTTTTTTCTAATTTCTACTGATTGTCTTTTATTTATGAAGTAATGTAAGGTGATGTCACAAATTAGTAATGATCCAAATGTAAATTCTGTACAAACCGATTTTGTTTAAAATTTTTGCTTTATTTTCTAGGATTGTTCTTTGCCCTGGTTTCGTCTCTGCTTGTGCCTCTAGATGTGTTCCTTGTCTCCTACATGAAGAATACCGACGGTAATGTGATTTTACTTTTTATACAAATGGGCCTTTTAACGTAATTTTAAGTGCAGACTCTTTTAGTAAAGAGTGTCAGTTTCGATTTACAGCGATTTTTAGAACATTTTTTCGGAATCAAAAGAAACCATTGTTTTTTATCCGAAAAATGATAATTTTCAATGGCACATTTTATAATTATAAGAATATTTATATCGCAGAATGATGAACAAAAGGGTATCATCTGTATAAAATAAAGGTACTTAAAATCATGTCTTCTACAGGCCCTTTAAGCTGATTATGCTATCTGAACATGTTTGTAAGAAATCAGTGTTTTAATTTGAAAATTTTTCTATTCTAAACTTTGTCCGAAATTCTGGCGAACCCAAAAACTAAAAGATAGAAAACCTAAATTCGATTGAATTTAAACCAGGCAATGAATGCCTATGCTGGACATGGCGGGGGGGCCGGCACAGAATATCAAATATATGTTTTTATCCACAAATATTAGGACATAATAAAGTTGTTTGATTTTAAAATATCTAAAATCTCTCAAACATTCCCTTTCAGGTTCCTGGAAAGCCTGGGCAGAAACAGAGGAGGATCGAGACACAATCAAGGTTCTTATTTTCAATATTTTATTATTTTCTTAAATTGATTCCGATCCCCCTTTTGAAAATAATTTTTCCCTCAAAAAAAGTTTGAGTATTTTAATAGGCCATTTTTACAAATTTTGTGAAAAGAAAGAAAAATGAACAAATAAAATTGGTCAAATCTGAAGTACAAATTCAATCTTCAGATTGTCAGACTTCAACAACAAAAGGTCGTCATTATTGTCTCATTTTTTGTGTGTGACCTTGTAATAAAATTATTCAGAAACCTGATATATATTGTTTTATTTTAGAATTCAATTCTGTATTGCTACTACTTCTGCTATTCAGGAAATTTGATCATTTTTATCAATTAAAGATAATATGAAAAAATATAAAAATAAAAAAAATGAAAAAAAATAAAACTTAAAACTATCAAACAACAAAAGTACAAAACACGAAGCAAACCAAACAAAGCTAAGATAAGATAAGATAAAACAAACCTATAAAATAATGAAAACAATTTTTTTTTAAATGAAGAAAAAGTAAAATAAAATATATTTACCTTTCCACAAATTTTCAAAAAGTTAACTTATTTTGGAAGACTTAACTTTGATAAAAATTAAAAAATGATTAAACTGTAGTGGTTCTTGTATTCTGCTTTCTTCTCTTTCCAGCAACATTCTTCTTCCATAGTGTTCCCGCAGACCAGGATGAGGTATGTTTAGTGTACAATGTACACTGTACTCTGTGCACTGTACACTGTACACTGTACCCTGTACACTGTACACTGTACACTGTACATTGTACACTGTACACTGTACACTGTACACTGTACTGAGCCCAATATTTTAAGACAAGATATTGTTATGACACCTGAGGAACTATTGTGTTGAGTATCATTAATCTTAAATGCTTGATCTAGATATCCAATGTTAAATTAAATTTGAAGATAAATGCATGATCCCGCAAATAAAGTTATTTCACGGGATATTAATGAGAAGTTAGATTAATCCGTAGGTCTAGCATAAGATGGAGATCAATGCTTGATCCCAAGATTCACAACGCAAAACAATCTGACTTCCGGTTTGGTAAATGGGGTCAGACAATTTATCAGATAAATCATTATTTTTATTTATTTATTTATTTTTACTATTTTAATATTTTTATGATTATTTTTTATATTATTGTTATTATTTTCATTATTATCATTAGTTTCATTTTTATTATTATTATTATTTTCATTTTTATTATTATTGGTATTGCAGGAAGAACCCAGCTGTGGAGCTAAGTTGTGTAAATCCATCAAATTTACATTTGTCTCCCTTCTCCTCTTCTCATTTCTTGTAGTTGGAGGAATATTTATTCCATTTAACGGTATTTAATTTATTTATTTAATCTTTTTAACTGTATTTAATTTATTTATTCCATTTAACGGTATTTAATTGATTTATTCATTTCATTCAACGGTTTATATTAAATTAGTTTATTGCATTAAATGGTATTTAGTTCTATTTATTCACCTAAATATCATATCTATTAGTTATTTATCTATATCTATCTATCTATCTATATATCAGGAATGCCCCCAAGTAATGAGACTAGCTGGGAGAAGATTGAATGGTTCTTCTATGAACTGGACGCAAATAAGGTCATTATTATTATTATTATTATTATTATTATTCAGGGGGTATATATTTTCAAATTTTTTTCGCTTTGGGGAAAGTTAATGATTTTTTAATTAAAAATTATCAAAAAGAATGTAAAAACTTGCTTTTTGATATCCCATTTTCATCCCCCCCCCTATCATCGAAAATCATTGCCCCCACTAGCTGTTATTATTATCATTGTTGAGCAAGTGATTGTCCAAGTATTTTTATTTTTCAATTGACCCTTCATTTGAAGAGTTTTCTAAGCAAAAATAATGAAGATTTCTTAGTTTTTTTTTTGTCAGAAAATAGTTTCAAATTTCATCAACTTTATTATGTTCTGCATAACTCCGCCAGCAAATATCAATTTTCAGAAAGAAAAAATAGGATTTCCTCGTCATTTTTGCTCTGACGAAGGTTTTCAGAGTAGCGATGTGAATAGAGCATACCCCTTATCAATTTGAGGGTCACTTGAAATGACGAGGTTATTCAGAAAAACTTTAATGTCAAAATTGAAGGTCGAAAGATTAAATATTTGTCAACATGTAATTCGTTCTTGAGAAAAATAAACTTTTGCCTCAAACTCTATTTTTCTCATCTTTGTCACCTGATGGTGTAAAATTTTGAGGATTTGATATAGAAAAGTCATAATTTGAAATTTTAAAGGTCTTATCAGGTTGCAAAGGTTTAGAAAATCAGAGTATGTGAAGAGTTAAAGATTAGGAAAAATTCAATTTTTAATCTTAAACGATGAAGTTTTATGAAAAAGTATGTTATTTTTTAAGAATGACAAATAAAACCATATTTTAACAGGGAGAGGACTTATTGGTCTTCATTCTCAACGTTGTAAATCTGATAGGTATGTTTTAATTAATCAGAGAACGAATTTAAAGAATTTGAGCTACGTCGTTGAACCACCAACTGTCGGTTCAAATCTGAACCACCGATTCAAAATTAAAGATTAAGGAAGGATTTGAATCGTGTTTCTAACCGGCAGAAGGTAGTTCAGTCAGGTCTAGGCCTGGCCCAAGTTCTTTAAATTCGGTCTCAGTTAATTCTACTATTTTTACATTTAAAAAATCTAATTTTTCATGAATTCAGCATTTTTATCATGAAATCATTATTCGTTCGTATCATCCTTTTTCCTCATTTCATTTCATACATTTATTAATTTATAATTTCATTTATGTATTAAATCATGCTTTTATTCAACTATTATGTAATAATATATTATGCGTAGGAAGAAAGTGTAATAATCAAAATTATTGTTATAATATTGAAAGAAAAACCGTGGAATAATTTTGATTATTCACCGAAAGGCGCAGCCTGAGGTGAATAATGGTGGTATAATATGTAATATTTAGTGAATATAAAAAAATAATACTTTTGTATGAAAAACGAAGGCGTAAAAATGCCGGCCTATTTCTTGCGCGTCTTTAGTACAGAAATCCAAAAGTTGCTTATTTTAGTTATTAAATATCTGCACCATAATAACGCAGTTTGAATTGTTATTTTTGAGAATCATTGACGGCACTTAAAAAAATTACTTAAACAGTCCCTTTAACATATCTGTAAGCGTAAAGTCAAGTGACCGTTCATGCGAAGATGGCAATGCTCAATTTACAAGTATTTGGCTGAGTATGGTTTGAACAGATATCAATGTTTTTGTTCCTTGAAATTGTTCATTTTTATTTGGGGGTTCTCTGAAAAAGTTTCTCCTCCACATTCTTGACCTTTTCAAGGGTACAGTTGTGAATCGGGCATTGTCATTTTTCCATGGAGGGTCACTTGACATGAAGCTCACAGTCCCTTTAAATGTTTGATAAATATTATTAAAGGAATGATAATATTGATTATCTATACTGGGTTTGGTCTTTCTTCCTTCCCTTGGGGTATCCTGGCAGGCCGCAGGTGGGAAGTATTGATTAATTGATTGATTAATTGAGAAATCAATTAATAGGTTGGTTGATTGATTGATTGATTAGCTGATATTTGATTAATAAACTGATTGATTGGTTGATCTTTTTGATTGGTGGTTTTATTTTTACCTTGGTTGTTTTTTTATTTTTTGATTGATTTTCCTAAAGAATGATCGATTATTTATTTGATTTATGATCTGTTGATCTATTTAAACTAGATTTTATGGAACCCAACAGGAAACTAAACTTTAACTGTAAAATTCATCGATTATTGATTAATTGATTGATTGATTGATTGATTGATTGATTTGTTTAGAAACGTTGATGCTGAGAGAAGTTCTCTTCAAATCAGTATTCAGGAACTGGAATCTCAGGTAATGTCGATGGGGGGGGGGGGGTTAATTTTCTGGAAAAATAATTCTTCAAAACTCTTTCCTCCCCTCCCCTGTATTAAGAATATTTAGGGGATTCAATCGCTGAATCGGGAAAATAAAATACTTAAAAAAGAAAATAATAAGTTTTTGGTTTAAAGTTTTAATAAAATTAAATAGGTATTTCTTCAATTTTTCTTGTTGTTTTAGATAAATGAGATCAGGGTTAGAAATGGAAATAATTCCATTCCTCGCTTCGAGCAAAGTCAGTTAGATCGGCTAGAACAGCAGGTAAAGTGATAATTTAATTGGATATCATGGAATTTACTTTTTGATGTAGTGAAATTGAAATGAGAAAAGGCTTAAAATGAATTATATTTTTCCAATAAACATGAAGAATCTAAATCTAAATATTGAAATTATTCCTAATCGGTAAATACAGACTGGCAATAAAATGTGTTAAGAACCCTTTTATACACAGGCGCACCAAGATTATATTCAATTGAGGTTCTTTGTAAAAGTGACTGGCTGATTTTTGCTCAAAGAGAGAACGAGGAGAATTGCTCAGATAAAAGTTTAAAGGGTCGGACTTCAGTTACTATATTAGCGGAGGATCAGTTTAGAATTAGTCTGCAGTCCCCTAATTGAATTCATTATTAATAATTTGATCTATTTATTTATTGATCATTGATTGATTTAATTGATGGATTGATTGATTTGATTGATTTGATTGATTTGATTGATTTGATTGATTTGATTGATTAAATTTTACGTTTAATGTTGATTTAGATTATTTATTGAAAATCGATTGATCGAAAATATTTTAACCCATGTGGTTTTGTTTAGTTGATTAATTGATTGATTGATTGATTGATTGATTGATTGATTGATCAGGTTCGATTGTTACAAAGAGAGGAGAAGGATCTGGAGCAACGAGCCCGGAATATTATCAACCGTTGTAAACTCCTTTGCATGTAAGCACCAAATTAATCAAATTTGACCGACATTATTCTAAAATTTTCCTCTTTTATTATTTTATCTTTTTGTCTGTTTGCTTTCTCCCCATTTTTTTTAATATTCAATTTTCAAAAACCATGACTTAATATATTATGATTTTTTTGTGTAGGGGTTGGGGGGCATTAAGACTTAGACCACAATCCCCGATTCTATCTTATTCTTTTCTGTTTTATCCTAGGCCTTGTCGTATACTGATAGGAATATTGTTCACTGGTTTTGGATTCATTATCTTTCTATCTCTTCTGTTGGAGAATATTGATAAGGTTAGTGAAGAAATTAGTTATGTTCTCAGACAGAGATTAATAATTATTTCAAATAGGGATAATTTTAATTTTACGTTAAAAGAGGGTAAAATCAACTTTATGAAAATTTATTAAATTAAACCATTAATGTATTTTTCCTTCAGGTTTTTTTAATGAAAATTTTAACAAATTGAGCGATAGCGTTTTTACGATGTGCCATAAAGCATTAAACTCTTAGTATTTGGGTCAGGGGGGTCAAGTTTTAGGTGTTCAGATTTATCCCCCCGAAACACTTGTTCATTTTCGTATAAAAGATTCGTCCATTAAAATATCTTACTTTTAGTGATTGTAAGTGTAAATTCAAGTGACCCTTTATACAAAGTTGGTAATATTTACAACATTTGACTTATCATTGAGGCCGGAGAACTCTGTATGTTAATATCGCAGATAGTGTTTGAATTGCTGATAACCTAGAGCGTACCTACAAAGAATTTACCTGGATAAGTTCGACATCCTTCATCTAAAGATTAAAGGGTACTGTTGTGAATCGGACATTCCTATCTACACTTAAAATTACGCCTACAGTCACAGAAATAAATCGGTTTTTTTGTTAAGGCAATACACTCTGAAGGACCGTACTCTGGGTATACACTTGTCAACGGAACTATTCCTAATCCCCTTGACGTAGTTCTTGTTCTAACACAGAATATATTCCCACTCGACTATATTCTTTACACAGCGTTGGTAATATATTTATTCTTCATTTATTTATTTCATTTAATCATTCATTCATTCATTCATTCATTCATTAATTCATCCTCTTGACGTAGTTCTAGTCCTAGCATATAATATATTATTCTATACACAGCCTTGGTAATATATTTATTCCTCAACCTTAATTTACCTATTAATTCTTTTACTTAATCATTCATTCATAAATTTGTTTATACCATTATCAACTCATCTATGCATTCATTCATTCTTTCATTCTTTACCTCATTTCTTCATGCTTTCTTTTAATAAAATCAACATTTTGCTATCTTATTTTTTTTCTCGTTTTCCACACATTCATCTTATTTCCTTGTTTTACATAGTATTGCTGTTCTTGATTGATACTTTAACTATTGGAATTCTTTTTAATTCCTATTCCTAGAAATTATTCAATGAAAGGAGTACGAACTATTGGAATACTCTAATTTCGTGTTTACACCAACTGTTGGAATTCTTTAAGTTCCTACTCCAGATTTTGAGCTCTTGGAATTCGCAAATTCCTTTTTTAGATATTATTCCTGGTTTTGAGTTCTATGAAAGGAATAAAAAGTGTTGGAATAAGATTCTTCTGTGTCTCTCTTTACAAAATCAGGTATAAAATAAAAATTATGGAGGGTTTTCTATTTTTTATTTCTAAGTATAGAAATAGAATTTTTAAATGAACTGTTAACGTAATTTAAAGTGACCCTCCCTTGCTAGAGTAACACGTCTGATTCACAATGGTGCACTTAAAAGCTTTGTCTGATTAAGTATGAACTGTATCATATATCCACGTTGTGTTTTTGAAAACTGATTATTTTTATTTGTGGTTCCTCTACAAAAGTTCCTTGGCTATCTCTTGCTTCAAAATCAACGGAGAAATTAATAGAAAGAAAAAATTTTCAAGGGAAAAAAACGATGTTATCTTCCACTATATACATTATCTTCCACTATATACATTATAGGGGGGGGGACTCTTTGATATTTAATCCACCAAAGTGAATTTTCTCACAACAATCTCAGACAGATAAAATTCATCAAAAAAACATTAAATAGGACATTCTAACATAATTGAGAGGAAATAAATTTCGGTGAACATCTAAACAATTTGTTGTTAAATTAAAAGCTTTAAATTTGATGTAAAATCCCATATTTCTGATTTAATTTGAAAATGTTTAACCCTGTTTAATTCCTAATTTTAATTGATCCTCAATCTTGAGGAATAATGTTAAAGAAATTGTCGGGTTTCTTGGTTTAAAACTTTTAAATTCTGATAATTACTATATGTTTTCCTGCAGTAGAAATGCGCAAGTCACATTTGAAGACGTTAAAAAATGCAGTTTTCAAAATTATAAACATTTTAAAAAGAGATGATTTTGTCCCCAGGACATGATCGGGTTGTTACGATCGAATCTAGGAATTTTTCTATTACGAAAGTTTACTTCTGTATAGGTGTTTTTCTAATGATCTGCCAGGGTTGTAAACGGGCAGCACATTCATCCATCCACGCTTCATTTATTATGAGAAGATTCCAGCTGCCTAAGGGCTTTTTAGGTCTGAGAAAAGTAGATTGCAAGAATTTTTCTGATATAGTGGAATGAGGGCTGCCTTACAGATAGGAAACATCACACTCATTGCTCCCTATGGCTGGCAACCATATACTCTCCCTGCTTATCAACCTTTCCTCTCTTCATTATCATTCACTTGGATCAATCCATTTTCAAGCTTCTTTCTTGTTGAGTAGAAAGCACGCACCCTTTCGCTGCGAGAGATGTTGACAGCCGCCCCTCTGTCCTCCTAAATCCGCCAGGTGGTCATAACTACTTAAACAGATGTTGGCTTCAGCTGATTTTGAAACCACAGATTTGTGAGAAGTGGGGGAATCAAACCAGTTAACATCAATCTGGACACCAATCCAGTTACTGGCTGCGGACAAGTGTGCTTAACTTTAGTGATCTAACTAGAACAGGTGTCACACACTAGCCACCCCACCCCGTAAACTAGCCAACCCACTCCACAAAACTAGCCACCCCAGCCCACAAACTAGCCAACCCACCCCGCANAACCCATCCCGCAAACTAGCCAACCCACCCCACAAACTAGCCAACCTACTCCGCAAAACTAGCCACCCCACACCATTGTAAACATTTATCTAATTCATGCTTAATCAGACAAATCTTGTAAGGGTACTGGGCATTGCCATCTTTGCATCGAGGGTCACTCAAATTATGCTTACAGTCCCTTTAACCCTGTTTGAATGTTTAGTTTGATGTATATTATCATGGCTCTGAACGTGATAATGTTCTCTCTAGTTCCTAACTATACTATGTTTGGAAACCAGGTACATTCATTCATCCTTTCATCCTTTTATCTATTCATCATTTTTCATCTGTATACTTCAGATCTATATTTATTTATCCATCAATCTATCTATGTATTTATCTATCTATAAACAATGTTTATCCGTCTATTTTATCTATTTATCCATTTATCTATCTATTTATCCATCAATCTATCTATATCTGTATACTTCAGCACTATTCTATCTGTCTATTTTTCAATCTATCTATATATCTATTTGTCTTTCTACCATCAATCTATCTATATATCTGTAAGGCTATTTATCTATCCGTCTTTCTATATATCTTTCTATATATCTTTCTATCCATCTTTCTATCCATCTTTCTATCCATCTTTCTATCTACAATTGACTAAATAATTATATATTTCAGCACTATCGTCACAACACAACTGATAATACCACAGTAGTAGAACGCTGTGGCGCAACATCATTTCCAGAAAAAAAGGTGAAAAATATTTTTTCATGTTCACTTCCATAGGCGTATTCAGGAATTTGTCCATAGGGGGGGGGGGGGAGGAATAATGTTTTCTTTCTTTCTAGGAGGTCAGCTCTCATAGGGGCCCTATACCACCCTGAAAACCATATATTTTACTGATCTAGGGGGGGGGGGCTCAGCCTCCCTAGCCCCCCTCAATACACCTCTGTTCACATAATTTTATTTCTTCCTTCTTCTCTCAACCCTTCCGTCTCTTCTTTTTCTTTCCGTTCTTCTCTTTCTATCTGTATATTCTTCTCTAAAAATTCTCTTTAGGTCTTTTCTTATCTCTCATTTCTTTCCATTCTTCTCCAAACGTATTATTTTCTCCTTATTCTTATTATCCTCCTCCATCTCTCTTTCTTCTCTTTTGTTTCTTTCTCTTTTATGTTTCATAGCATTTCTGTCCTCTCTTCCTTAAACGTTTACTTTAATTCGAATTTATAATTTCCTGCCCTATCTCCTTTATCGACTCTCTTCTCTATATTTTTACTTTTCGCTTCTTTCTCAGAAACTTTTTTCTCTCTTTCTCTGAACCCTATTTTTCTCCTTTTTTCCTTTTTGTCCGTTCTCTGCTTTCTCTGATATCTGTTGTTTAATATTTTTTTTCCTGTTTTTTCCTGTTAAAAATCTAAGAATGAATGTACAGGGTTATCCACAAATGATGAGACTGTAAAGACTTTAAACTCTTCAAATATGATAATTCCAAGGTTTTATTAAGTCTTCTGCCTTAATTATGGTCTTTGAATGGCTTATTTAATGGTTTGTCAAAAAAAAAGAATCAAGTTGAAACAGTTGCAGGGAATCATGTACATAACAAAACGAACAATATAATGTCCGTACAGTACAGTACAGGACAGTACAGTACAGCTATCAAAGCTCTTCTGCTGCAGTAGTTTTACATATATTTAATGTACTAATGTTTTGTTATGTTATCTGTTATTATTTTTAATTACTGCAGAAAAAAATAGGATTTGATTTGATTTTGGATAAAGAAACATTAAACATTAAATTATTTGTTTCAGGATAATTGTGTTCCATCAAGAATATCTGTTCTACTCCTTTCCTTCCACTACAAGGTTAATATTTCTTACTAAAGAGACTGCTCTTGTAGTTCCAAGTGACCCCCCCCCCCCACATAAAGAGGGCATGGCCGATTCACAACGTCGTTACACTTTAAACCTTTATCTGATCAACAAATTTGAAGAAATCATCGATTATTCATCATTATTCTGCAAAAAACTTTTATAGAGAAATCACACTTGGAATATATTATTTTTTCAAAGTTAAAATAATGGATGCCCCCCCCTCTACTTGAAATTACGTCAGACAGTCCATTGGAGATGAATGGGGGGGGGGGAGGGGGTAAATCCCCCTCTTTGAGCGCCCCTTTACCCCTTTGCTGATAATCTTTTTTAAATTATAATGATTTTTAAATCATAGTTTTCAATGTAAATTTAGAAGATCTGCTGTCTGATCTTCAAAACAAAGATAATGTCTTAATCATTTATTATAATTATAAATCGTTATCGTTATCGTTATCATTGGCATTGGCATTGTTATTGCCATTGTTTTCGTCATTTTTATCACCATTGTTAATCTTCATTCCTATCATTATTATTGTTATCAACATTGTTATTATCATTATTTTAGGCCTGGATTTTCGGAGCAGCATACTACTGGTTAACCTGGGTTCTCCTAGGTACAGTGGTCGGCCTCTATATCAATACAATGAAGACGACTTTTTATTAATAATGTGAATTTCAAATAGAAGTTTACATGTAAACAAAGAGAAATTGTTAATTGACAAATTCTCTTTGTTAGCATGTTTATGTGTCTCAGCTGTTTGAAAGTTGGAAGAAATAAAAATTAAGATAGTAGGTTGTCTTCACTGTACTGATGTATACGAAATATGAAATATTCATGCATTATTATGATATGATTTTATTAAATATCAATTAACAGTCTTGGTTAAGATTTTTGTATTTTTGTCAAACTTTTTAAATGAAACAATGACTTACTATTTTAAACAAAAAAATAAGCTTTTGTTGGAAAAAAATCTAAATTTTTAAAATTTTAACTGTAGAGTTTATTATTATTTCATAAATATGGAAATTATGTTATTTTTAGTCGCTGTTGTTTTGGGGTCATTTTATACCCTCTACAATCTAAGGTATTATTCTAATCTAATTCGTTACCTTTGCGCCATTTTTTTTAAAAATCAAAACATTGGGTAACCTTTTTTTTGGAATTCATTTAATAGGATTATTCATATTTTTCATAATTTATGCAACAGTTTACGTTCACAAAATTTTAAGTGACACACTTCTTAATTAAGTGTTCGATTCACAACACCTGTACCTGGGTAAATTTGAAGATGATATTGCTGTTTTTCGGTCTTGTAAAGTGTTAATTCTGAAAATTATCTTCATCGTTTTCCTGCAGCACAATTCGGTAACCAACAATCGAAAATTATCCGTTTTCAGCCAAAAAAAAGAACCTCTCACTAGCTCTGATATCAGACAAAGGATTATCGGGTACCGTTGTGAATCGGAGAGTTACTTGAAATTACGACTCCATTGAGGGACAGAGGTGTATTGGCAGGTTCGACATGAACCTCGCGAAATGGTCTCCAAACCGCAGGTTTTGCAGAACGCCCTCCGAGCCCCGCAAAACAATCTCCTCCAGTCCCTTAACCATTAAAATAGCAAAAGATTTTTATGATATTCTTGTTGTACTAGGCGTCCTAGAAGACAAGAGGAGGAAGAAGAAGATCTGATTAGTACTTAAAGAGAACCATAATCGTATATCGATTAGGAATTAAATAATCCGAAAATTTTCAATGGAGATGATTCTGACTTCTGCAATTTTTTTAACAAACTTCATAAGTCTTTGCTTGTCACTGAATGATTATTATTATTATTATATCTAAAAAAATGTGTGTTTACAGAAAATTTAAACAAACAATCTCTCTTTATCACATTTCGTATTTCTATTAAATCAAATTACTCACATTAATTGTACAGTATTTTTAAAATATGAGATCTGGAAAATATTTAGTTTTTATCTTAATCTATTTTTGAAAGCAGACCCTCAAAAAATAATTGGCAATGCTGAACTATTTAAGACAACCCTCGGTATGCAAATGAATGCAATACATTTTATTAAAAGATGATTAAAAGATACTTAACATAAATTATCATAATGACATCCAGAGGCGTATTCAATCTTTCATCTAGGAGGCGGGAATTAGATTTGTAAAATATTGGATTCAAGGAGAAAAACAATTCTTTCATCTGTTCTTTAAATTTTTAATATTTTTGACAGGGAGAAATTAAATTTATTAAAGAGAAGCGGTCCCTTAATGAAATGAATTAAGGTTTGGGCATTACAACCACCCCCCCCCCCCACTGTATACAACTTTTATGACATTCAAGCATTTTTTTTCTTTCCTTTAAAGGGACTGTAAAGGAAAAATGAAAGGGGGTATAGGATGAAAGCTGAGGTTCTCAGCTTTTGATCGATACCATAAAAGACATCTATCTGATGTTCCTGTCTCGAGAAATTGACATAAAACTGTGTCGAAATTATACCAAAACGGGCATATGCCAGATTTGGTATAAAAGTTGTAGTATTAAATATATCATATTAAAAAAATACGCCACCAATATAAAAACGCCCAGATTTAACAGGAAGCTGAGAACCTCAGCTTTGCTTCTGTTATAATTTTATTTTTTTATTTTCCATTTCTAACAGATATAATTGATTAAAATCTTTTATCGTCGCTTCTGTGGATTTTTCACAACTAAGACGACCGAAAATCAATCAATAAATCATGCGTCAGAAATATTTAGAATAAGTTACTCTTAGTCTTGCATTATAGTCCCATGTTTACGCCAATGGAGTTCTTGAATGGATTTTTTAACTATTGAATTAACTTATCCAAGTGGATTATATGAACTGACTCTAAAGTGAGTCAAGTAAAGCTTATATATCTAGCATTCATTCAAGATTCTCCTATTTTAGAAAAAGAAAACAAATATTTAAAAAGTTGTATAGAGTTCATTCTGATTGGTTAGAAGAAAAATCCATAATTCATATTATGTGTGGGATATTGGAGGTTCCCAACTCATACTCTATGAATTCTAAACCTCCATCCTCGGAGACTGGAACCTCTGGCTCCACATCCTCTGACCTCTGAGGCTCTGGGACTCCATTCCCCTAAACCTCGGTCCTCGGAGATTCTAAGCCTCTGTCCTCGGAGACTGGAATCTCTGGCTCTACATCCTCTAACCTCCATCCTCTGAAACTGGTAGTCTTTTGGCTCCATAATCTCCATCCTTCCTTAAACTCCTAAGGGCATGAGAAGGAGTTTCAAGATGGAACCTGGAGATTTCTTTCAACTATTCACTTTCTTCACATTCCATTTGTTGACTCTTTCTTTTCTCCAACTCTTTTCTTTGAGCCTGGAATTATAATTAAAGTTAGAAACTGTTATGAATTTCTTTCATATACATATTATTCCTTCTACACCATTTCTGTCTCCTACTGAATTTTTTTTTTTTCTTCTCTCTCTCTCTTTTTCTTCTAGTTTTCATTAAAAAAAATAAGTATTATACCTGGGCCAATGCTTTTTGGAACATAATTACATTCTCCAGTGCCACTGTTGGTCCCAGTACTTTGGGTATGAACAAGTGTAGCTGCTCGAGGTTCATTTTTTGAATGCGAGCTAAATCTGATGCTCTATAATCATGTTTAGATAAGTGTTCTTGTGAGCACTCAGTAAAAGTTTTAGGAGCCGTGTAGCCCAGAAATAAGTTACTGGATATTCTTATGGCTGGCTTTTCACTGGTGTAATCTATAACTGCATATGTTTCTTGTTTATGAACAAAAAAAGTAATAGCTGGTAAGAAGTCAACTAAGTCAGAATTATCACCAAAAATGAGAGGTTCAGGTTTGTCTTTAGATAGGATGAAAATTTGGAGTTCCCGGGTAGATGTGAACCAAGCGGTTTTATTTCGGAAGTTTCTCACAAAGTTTTTCCCTATATCTGTTGACAATAGTTCTGTTTTATGGATTTTCTTATGATTGATTTGTAAAAGATGTTGGACCAGATCCAACATTGCTGGAATATTCATTCTGGAAAGGAGAAAATAAATATTGATATCATATCGTGCATAAATATATATATACAAACTCAAATTACGTTTATACAATTACTGTTGCAGGATAAGAGAAAAGTTTAGTTGCGGGGGGGGGGGGTTTAAATAATTTTATTTGAAAATTCCAGACTTATTTTAAGCAATGGAATGATATTTCTCAGTATTTGCTCATTATCATACTCTGGGTATTTAAATTTTATCATTCCGATTAAATTCCTTCTCTTATAATATTTGTTCAAGTCTGCTATACTGAAAGTCTTATCTTTTAGTAGTTTTTCATATAATGGGGAATTTTTCCTTAAGTATACAAAATTGTTTGTGTGAGTACAAGATATTTCATAAAATGCATTGTTTCCATGTATTTTACATAATCTATTATGTTTTAAAAGGTTTTTAATTAAAAAGGTTGGCAGTTTTAAAATCTTAATTACATCTCTAGCTCCTGTATAGTCAAAATGTCTCATATTTTTTCTCAGCTTGGTTTGTATTGAAATATTTACATGCAAATGCTTTATGCAAATTGTTTGTAATGAAAGGACGGAATGAGGAAAGGTTTCGATTGAACATTTTTTACAGTTAAAAAAAAGTGATTCAATTTTTTAATAAGTTTTACTTCTTGCACATATTGTGAAATACACTTATTCCAATAAACAACATTTTTTATCATTGTATTTTTGATTAAAAATAAAAAGTGTTTTTCTGAGTGTTTCTCTTTTAAGGAAGATTAAACAAAAACTCTGCCTTCCTGATAAGGTTGACAGGCTCTCTTATTTCCAGCGCCTGCAATTGAAAAACATATAACCTAGAAATGATAGCTTTAGGCAGCTAGAAACTATGTACATTACTAGTACATATAGAGTTCTCCCCACAGCAACAACAATTCACATATTTGGGATTATAAATTGTCAGGAGGCAGGAAACTTTTGGAAATTTTGAAACTTAGTTTGGAAAGGAAAAATTTGCTAAAGTAAGGAGGAAAATGTTTGTTTTTGTCTTTTTTTTTTTGAAAAATAACTTCAAAAACAAAAGTTACCTGAAATCAGTGTAGAAGTAGCGCAAGATGTTGGGAGTAGATTTCAATTTGTACAAGCATGAAAGAACTGCGTCTTCTGTTAGCGAAATGTATCAGGCCAAGGGTACATCCGGGGTTGTTACAACCATAGAAGATATAGCAAGGAAGGAATGTAGAAGTATGAACATGGAGAATATTTTGAGCCAGGAGATGGAATCTTTTGATGATGTGGAGACTGAGTTGGAAATTGAAAAGATGCAATCTGAGTTGGAATTTTTTGAAGCAAAAACCGACGCTAATAGCAACATAGATTTTGGAGCTGCGGATGTTGGGGACGGAAGTAGCAAACTGGAGGAAGGTGTATGGGATTTTGGCGGTGTAATGAAAAGATGGAATAACGCTGTCATTGAATATTGGGGTTTGTGGTTGATAATGTTTGCTGTATTGTGGTTGGTTTGGAGGCTTGTTACGTATATGGGTGAGTATGAATAATTAATTAATTAGGGGGGGAAAAGAGTTAAAGCATACTTTATGTAATTTTAGGTAAATTGCGGAAATTTTTAAGGGAAAGAAGGAATCAAAGGAGGAGAGCTCGAATTGAGAATATACCTTTGCCTATAATTAGAAATCCTGTTGAGATGAATAATCCAATAATTGCCTCTGGGAATTTACCTACAGGAGAGGGGTTGCGTAGGTCTGATGATTATTATGTGCTGGTGATAGGAAAAGGATTTGGTGCACAGCACATGTGCGTCTCAGGGCAATATTTACCCGGTCACATAGAGTAAAGGTTGTGTCTTGGCCCAAGAACAGAGTTTCTGGGGGAGACTGGCCGAGGACTATTGGCCTATGATAAATTTGTTTTGTTTCTTGTATTTTCTGCAGGATTAAAGAAATCGCCATTGGAAAGCTGTCACATAAAGCTTCCAAGTGTTCATTGAAAAATTCTAGGTGGGTTGAGGGGTTGTAGGGAGCGACTAATGAAAAGAGATCAACTTCGATGACAATAGTACAAGCTTTGAGGTTAGACATCACTATGTTGAGGTGGTCTAACAAGTTATGACATAGGTGGTTCGACTCAACCCAGTCAGGGTGAGTGGGGGCAAGCCCTAAGCTGGGGTTTACTGTAGGAAAAAGGAAGTGTGTCAAGAGTATTGTAGATCGGAAGGTATGGGAGAGGTTTGTGAATTTAAAGCCGATCAAGTTGACCCCACTCGTGAATAACAGGTTCATTCCACAGGTGATAAGACCTTCCTTGGTATCCACAGATTGGAGGAAAGTTTTGCTGTTTGGGTGAGGTTTGCTGGGGGTGTACAAGTTTACACTGGGCGGCATGTTTGGTTCAGGAACATAGGATTCTAACCGAACCAACATCTTAGCTAGAGCTTCTTCAATTTTATATTGGGTTAACAAATACTTATTTTTCCCCAATATACCTTGCTGGCTAAGATACAAGGATTTGTCCATATTCTGCAAGAGACATTGGATGACCCGTCGGTCAGCCTGGTCCAATATTTTATCCCAAAATACCAGTGGGTACAAATCAGAGGTCTGGGGACTCAAGGCAGCCCCTTTTCCTGCAATGTAAGAGTCCACAGTTTTGGGCAGCGTGTTGTGATGAAACACTATGGTAGGACCCAGACAATTTAGCATATCAGCAGGGGAACGCAAAGAGAATAAATCTTTGTCCCTGCCTCTTGTCACAACAGTAGTTTGTTGTTTAGTCAAACCTCTCGTCAAAAGATGCATGTCTTTGCGCCTATGTGGGGTGGGGGTTAGCATATGTCCGATAGCCTTATAAATACTCAAAGGAGGACAGATACCGTCAGATACTAGGAGAAGATATCTGTCATCTGTGAGTCTGTAGGTTGTTCTGTGTTGTGGTTTGAAAAGTACTTATCTGTATCCTGCATAGTATAATTTGAAACCTCCTGGCTTGAAGTAGCTTGCAACTGTACAGTTAGAGCAGAACCCAAGGTTGAGGGAACTATGTAGTTTGGCGGGCTTTGTGGCAGGAATGCAGGAGTAGAGGCTGATGGTAAAGGTGGAGGAGGAGACGGTGGAGGAGGTGGAATAGGAGAAGGAGGAGGAGGCGGAGGAGAAGGTTGAGGAGGAGGGGGTAAGGGTAGGGAAGAGGAAGCAGGATTAGTAGGAGGTAGTATGGGGGGCAGCGAAATATCCAACAACCAATCATCCATCTAAAGTAGAAGAAACTTTAGTACCAACAACAAAAGGAATAAAGATGAAGGAATGGCTTCAAAGATAAGAAATAGAACAGATAGATGATGTTACATAAAAAAATAAAATAATTATGCAGAATGGCCAAATTATAAAGAAAATAATTCCAATTCTAAAAAATGTGCTGAGCACACAAGGGCTTATACTTAATTGTGCTTACAATATTATTATATCAAAATATATACATATTTGTCTAGACATATTTGTCTTGATTGTGTAAAAAGGAATGAATAAAATCCTCATCTTTTTGTTTATTGTTTTCAAAGCAGTCTGTCATCAATCTGAATTTCATTATGCTCTTTTTCAGTTTCTCACAATCTTGATTTCTGATATCCATTTCATCTGACAATTGACATCCATATGCATATTGGATGCTGCGCAAAGAAATAAAGAAAGAGTTTTTAACTTTATTCTCTGGATATCCCAATAAGGTGGATTGTAGATATGAAGGCTCTTTTACAGGCAGGAGTTGATAGGGGGGTTGCAATAAAGATCTGGGAATGTACTTGTCATGAAGATATAAAGGGACAGATTTATAACACAATTGATGATCAAAAATAATCCTATCAACTGGGTCATCTAATATAAGATGGTCAGGGATGTAAGGTGTGTGTTTTGAGTGTTGGAGCTGGCCTAGTACAGCTGCATAATTTCCCTTATCAGAGGCATCTACAAGGAGTACTTTCTTTGCATTTGGATCTACTAGGTTGCTATAAAGGGGGGTAGATGTCAAAAGTATCTTAAGTTTTTCAAACGCCTCCCTATGGTGTGGTTGTGGATTATACGGTGTAGTAGAACTATGAAGTGGGTTTAAAACTTTCATAATTACTTTTGGACAACACAAAGAAATTGTCTGGAACAATCCAAGGAAAGATCTTATAGCTTTTAAATTGGTAGGAAAAGGGGTAGCTAATAGCTTTGATTTCGGTTTTTGATCCGGATGCAATTGATTGTACTGAATATTCCATCCTAAAAATTGGATTGAAGTTTGCCTAAATTTACTTTTTTCAAAACTAAATTTTGCCGAGTGAAAGTTGAGCCGGCCCATAATTTTGTCAACTAGCTTGTAATGCTGGTCAACTGTTTCAGCATAGGTGGAATATGGTGGTGTGGCTATTAATAAATCGTCATAAAAGATATGGACTCCAGGGATTCGGTCTGGTTCCAGCTCTACTACATTTGGTTTTACGAAAATTGGATTTCCTTTCACATCAAGTTTTGGTCGCATATGTATGAGTCGGAAAGCTATTTCACTGAATACAAAGGGACTGTTTACTAAACCCATAGGGAGCTTCCTTAAAAGAAAAGAACCCTCATTAACTATGAATCTGGTGAGGTACCTACACTTGGGATCAATTTCCACCAAGTAAAATGCGGAGGTAAGGTCGGAAGTCGTAAACATTCCGTATCCTCTTAATTCCTGCAAAGTGCTTTGTATATTGGGAATAGTAGGGGCTGCTGTTTTAATACATTGATTAAGCAAAGTATAATCTATAATGAGCCTAGCACTGGCCAAAGGGTTACTTTTGGCCAGAAGGTATCCCAGGTGATGCCGAGAGATGGCGGAGCTATTTCAAGCCAGGAGGTTTCAAATTATACTATGCAGGATACAGATAAGTACTTTTCAAACCACAACACAGAACAACCTACAGACTCACAGATGACAGATGTCGACCATGTACCTCTAACGGAAAATTGCGCCTCTCAAATCACTTTGGACACCACTACACAAGAACAACAATTTATAACCTTTTATGTTGATGATGTTTCTTTGGAAATTATTGGAGAGCCAATACTGCAGTCCTCAAATATTTCTTTCCAAACTCCCGAACCTCCTGGTTTTTCTGCTCCTTATCTTTCAGATATTACAGTCCCATTGTCCCCAGCAATTAATACTCCTCTGGTAGACAGGGTGGACAATCAGGAAAAATCCCCCAGTCTTTCTGATGCTATCTCTGAGTCTCCAACACCTCCTGTTTCTCCCCCCTTATCGNGTACTGTGTTAACCTGCGCTCTTTTATAGGGTCTATAAGAGCTCCTATTATAGTCATTTACTCTGGAACTTCTATTAAATTCAATTGCTCTGGAATTTCTATCGTCATAATTAGCCCCGTTGTATTGAATATCTCTATCTATTTCAGTCCTCCAAGATCCTAAAAATCTAATCAGATCAACAAATAAAGGGGGTTCCTGAGAAGTTTGTGCCTTTTTTCCTATGAGTATATTGTATTGAGTTGCCACAATTTGGCTAGATTTTTCAGGCAATGCTCTAATTAAGCTTTGACATGCTTCATTATTTGAAAAAGTTTTTCGCAAAGGCCCATCCGGAAATATCCTGGCTGCGCAGGATGCAAGTTCCAAAATTTTCCCTTGTGCTTTCATAAGGTTTGATCTCCTAGATATCTTAAATCTTAGGAGCTCCTGTTTAGCCGCACTGGGTTGAGGCGAGTCATCATATAAACAGAGCAACTTATAATATATTGTTTCAACATCATCCCCTTCCTGTATTTGTGTCCGAATAAAGTTATGGGCTTCCCCTGTAGTGGAACTCAAAAGCTTTTCTTTAAACTCTATTTCTGATAAAATCATCTTTTCCTGGGCTGCATTTAAATTAAATATAAATTCGCTAATGGGCACTTCCCCTGGTACTCCGCTGAAGCGCGATTTATTCTGCGGAAATAATTTTGCTGCATCTACATTTCTAGATACTGTTTTTAAGGTTGGGTGTACACCATATTTCCTTGGTGGAGTTATAAGAGGATTAATCAAGTGAAAGTTTAGCTCATTTTTATATAAATTATCCTTAAATTTCTGGGTTGAAGTCTCTATTGCTTCATTTAATTCCACTTTGTTTAGTTTCATCCCTGCTTGAAAAGCTTGACAAAAATCCTCTAATTGTATTGGTTCCTCATCCCTATCTAGGTGTTTATTGTAACTGTCTGTTAATTTGGCTAAAAATTTGCCCAAGGGATTTCTCAAAGTATCTGATATCTCATTATTGCTTTCTGCATTATTCATTATTGAAAAAATCTCATTATCTGTTAAATTCAATTGTATGTTGTCCTCTTGATTACTTTGCTGAGTTCTCTCAGTAACTTCATCTATTCCTCTATCAGTCCCTTCTACTAATGATTCGCTACTTTGGTTTCGACTCGAATTTCTTGACATTCTTTTGAAAGGCATCTTAGTTTTAATATATACTTTTAATTTTTATTCCTCAACTTTATTCTTATATTTTAAAGTAAGCTTGGAGTTTGTTTTAATCTATAATGTTTTTTTTTTTATTCTTTCTTATATTTTAAGATAAGGTTTCGTATAAAATTATTTAAATTCTCAATCTGGGTTTGACCTTGCTCAGAAACTGTTGAAACTGTAGTGCTTAAATGATATGCAATGAAGAGTAGTATAATTATTAATATGCAAATTGTAATTAATGTACACATAAGGAGATCTAAGTTAGAAACAGTATTACTAATACTTCATTTGGGCGGTCCAGAAGTACACACGAGGAAGATGCGCCACTATGTACCAGCTGTACTTTCTTCTCAAAAATGTACCAATAAAAATTAACTTTTTTCCTAATAATGTGATNGATCCAGATTCTCCGTCCTCCGAGGTTTATCCGGTCTCGGAGATTTCAGAAACTTTGGATCTACACTCTCCGGACTCCGTAATGTACTCCATTATCTCCTTCCTTCCTTAAACTCCTAAGGGCATGAGAAGGAGTTTCAGGGTGGGACCTGGAGACTTATTCGCTCCCTTCACATTCCATTTGTTGTCTTTTCCTTTTCTCCAACTCTTTCCTTTGAGCCTGAAATTATAATTAGAGTTAGAAACTGATATGAATTTCTTTCATATACAGTATTCCCTTTATTTAATTTTAATTTTCCCTCTTATAAAAGTATTTACACAATCTCAGTCTTCCCCCCCCCCCTCTCGATAGTCTTAGATAGTCTATTTTATTTACGAGAAAAGAATTAAGTCTTTGCCAGAAACCACTGATTTCTATAATCTTAGCAACCCAAATGTGTCAGACTATGAATTCTGAAACAGTGATAACCAGAAAACTGTAGAATAGGAAGACGACATTAAAGCAGCACTGAAGTGCATTTGATGTTGTTACAAAGGAAATAGCATAACTAGCAAGTTACGGAATCAATTAATATGAAGTGAAATGGGTCTGTTTACACTGCACAATTGCCGTGCCTAATTCACTGGACTATTTGAAGTCATAACTTGAGTTTGAAAGTCGACTTCCTATTCTAGAGTTTTTTGGTTCTTATAATATAGAATAATATCAAATCAAGTAATATCAAAGGTTTACACCATCAGGTTGCAAAGAGATATTTATGAGAACATTTGATTTTGTAGCAAAGAAACAATTCCTTTTACGATCTTTTCTAAAAACAAGAGATTAATTATTGTTTTACCAAATCAAATCAGACTTAGGTTTGCGGCTTGCTATGATTCAACTAACTACTTCAGGCATTTTCTTTAACAACATTTTTTGCAGACTTTATACGAGTCGAGCATAGCGTTTGGTATACGTAAAGCCCTGCAGGCTGAGCAGGGTAAAACTGATATGGAAAATTATATTGCAAAGCTAGAGGGGGAGAAGGCAGGACTAGAGAAGGAGGTAAGGTTCCCTTAACTTGTTTAATAATTTATTCCCATTACTCCCTTTAGTTTAAAAATTAGAACGTTTTATCTCCATTTCAATTCTAGAAATTCCCCATAATTTTAGTAGTATTTGTTTTATCAATTCCTTCTTTTCAGGAGTAATAATTTTTCTTTCTTAAATTATTATTATTATTCATCCTTATCTTTCCCTTTATTTTTGATCATTATTAACCTTAATTTCCCCCCTTTAGTTTTTACGGGTTCTCATCTCTCCTTCTTTGTATTATTCATTTTCATCTATCCTCTTATTCTTAGAATTATTTATCCTCATTTCTATCTTTCATTTCTGGAATTATTTTTACAAATTTTTACTTTAATTTATACTTTTATTTCTATATTTTGTTAAAAAATGTATACCTTTATAGCTTTGATTTTTGAGTTTTGGTATTTTCAGAAATCCAGTTTGATCTTTAGCGATGCCTCCCTTATTTATATGAAACACCCTTTACTTTGAAATCCTACACGTGAAACAGAAACAATGGAGGAAACTGTGAGAATTCAATATATTTAAAGCTTAATAACAGACAAAATCTTCCACATGCTTGATCAGATGCAGGTTTAATTAGCAGGGCGGATACAGGGGGGGGGGGCAGGACCTTCGCACCCCCCTGACGGATTCAGGGGGTGCGTAGCCCCCCCTGAGATTTCAGAATAGCCCTTTAATAGCACTTAAGGGATAGAAAACC